CATATAGTTTTGTTATTTTGGATAAATCTGTACATTTATGCATAGATTCTTTGCTTACCAGCTTACCAACCAATTTTTAGTTCAACCATGTTATAGTGTGTTAATCTAGATGCTTACGCCTTATTATGCTTTTATATTTTCTTCTGGCTTTCTTCTACTTTTATTACTGGAATTTTGCCCCTTGATTATTGTGATCTTCCTAACCTTAGTTCACAGGAATATGTTCTTCACAATGCTATAAAGCATTTTAAATGGTAACACTTACTATCATGATAATGAGAGTGAGCAGTGCAATGCAGACTATTTCTGGAATGAGGATACATTTTACTCTTAGAGGTGGAGGAACTAAAGGTTCCATGGGAAAAAATGCGTTTTTAGCTAGAAGGTGGGTTTCGTGCTTATGTTCAGCCACTGAACGCAATGATTTGGGACTTGCTTTGTTACAGTTTTTTTCTAGTGCTTTTTGCAAAATTTTTAAGCCTTTCATCTGAAATTTGCAAAGTGCTTTAGAGGGAGTAATTGCATATCACTAATGCTTTGAGGCAGGAAAAATTACTCATTTTACAGTTCGGAAGAAATGAGCAATATCCAAAACTACAGATAGCAGGCAGAACACCTGACATTATTGAGAAATCCCTACCTCATCTAACTTGGATTTTCTGAGTTTCCTAGCACTTTTCTTCTGTGAAGATGGAGTTGCATTGTATGAGGAACTGAGAGAAATTACTAGCATTGTAGTTAATATTGCTCCATTAGTATTCATAATGTGGTAGCTAAAATAATATGAAGAAATAAGTAAAACAAAGTGTAAAGAGGGAAGACAACACAGAATGCACGGAAGGATGTGCTCTGACCCTCTTAGTATTTTTCCAGTCAGCTTGCTAGGCAAGTGCTATTTGCTGTGTTCTCCACATACAGCAGCATATACATATCAGGAAAGTTCTGAAATAGGCGTGTTTTGATTTGGATGCCACTGGAAATTACCTCAGGTATTTGAAGGATAGTTAGTCTTTTATAGTCCACAAAACCCTAACAGTTTCACTTGTAGACTTGCCCCTTCTTTTTTGACCAGGTAATAGACTATTTTCATTGAATTAAATATGCAGAGGAGGTAAACTGATCCTAACTGTTCACTAACTAATCACTGGCTTTTATTACCTAGGAGTGTTGTAATTGCATGATCCAGGGAGGGGATATAAAATGGCTGCAGTCTGTCCTGCTGGTTTAGTAATGAGGAGTTTACTCTCTTGTTTTGATTTGCTTTAATTGATGGAATCCCATTGAAACACAAGGTATTAGTTGCTGTGTAGTTCTTTTGGGGTGGCAGAAGGAAGTAGAAAGGAGGAATAAGAGTATCCTTAGTGAAAAGTTTATGAGGTGTCTGTCTACTAACAGACATGAATCCAGGTGGTAATAACTTCCAGCTTCTACTTCCTCTTTTAGCTGGCTGTTGGATTTTTAGCAAAAGTCTCATGAGCTAGCTCTTGAAGTTTCAGTGTATTCTATCCATATTAGTGATTCCTAGTCAATATCTTGTTTGTGTTTATAGGGACTGCACACCAGTGCTTAAAAATGAAATTTTATACAATCATAGAATCATAGAATGGTTTGGGTTGGAAAGGACCTTAATGTTCATCCAGTTCCAACTCCCTGCCACAGTCAGGAACACCTTCCATTAGAGGAGGTTGCTCCAAGCCCTGTCCAACCTGACCTTGAACACTGCCAGGGATGGGGCAGCCACAGCTTCTCTGGGCAACCTGTGCCAGTGCCTCAGCACCCTCACAGGGAAGAACTTCTTCCTAATGTCTAATCTCAATCTTCCCTCTGTCATTCCCCCTTGTCGTGTCCCTACAGGCCGTGTCAAAATCACCTCTCCAGATTTCTTGTAGGCCTCTTTAGGTATTGGAAGGCTGAAATTTCCAATTTACATATTAATTTTTATTCCTGAGTAGTTGGGATGAAGGTGTTTATTTCTAACAAACAGCACTAGGAATTTACATAATCTTGGTATTAAATAGAGTCACCTTTTCTTTTACAATGTACTTGTTCTGTAGCAGCCTAGTGTAATTTGTGCCCCATTTTTTTAAGTTTCAGCTTTCAAAATGTGAAATAGAGATTTTTTTTCTCTCATTTTCTATGTTAAAAATACATACTGATTTCATGGAATTACTTCAGCATGTAGCAAATGCTGTATGAGAACAAAAACCAATGCCCCAAGCAGAGAGCACCTAATTCCATGCAATTGTATCTGTAGTTCTTCAGGATGTTGGTTTTAGGAACATTAAGAAGAAAGAAAAGAAAACAAATGAAACAGAGTTGGGGTTTAGAGAAAAGAAGACAAGTAGAACATAGTTAACCTTGGGGTTTTGTTTTTGTTTTTTTAAAAGGCTGTCTAGAATGTGTCTTGATTTGCTACAACTATTTAATACTGACATTATCTGTAATACTGATTCCTCATAGCTGTTTTTGGTCATCGGCCCATCATTTTTACATTTTCTTCTTTTCCCTTGCTCATGTCATCTATCATGCATACCTGAATGATACTCTTTTGTGTATATTTCTTATGGAAGTTTAAGATGTAATGGCTTTTTATAAGCCACTTAACACTGTTATACTAGAGACTTTTCCTTTTATTTGTAGCAAATTGAAATTACTTAGTATCCTGGAAACTGGAAGAAAATTAAATCTGTTAGTTATTAATTTAAAACAGTGGAAGTAATACTTTTTCATGCCTTTTTTTTTCAGATTCTGACTATAAATACTGTAATAAATCACAGTGATCAAAATACATTTTTTTGTAGATTTCTTTTGTATTTAGACTGAAAAATTTGAACATCCTTCTAAATGAGGCTTTCACACAAGGAAAACAGTGAAAAAATTGTTTGAAAACCTTAACCAAAACCTCAGAATAAAATAAATAAATAAATGAAAAATGAAAAGCTTGATATAGCTGTAGCCTTCAGTGTAACAATGTTTTCAAAAATATTTTAAGCATGCAAATATACATAAGGAAGTCTGGAAAATTCAGCAACAAATCACTGAGAATATGAAACGTGAAATGGCAGCAGAAATGCTAACAAGATACTCTAGTTTTCAGGACATTCAATAGCTTAGGGAATGAAATAAGAAATACTAGTCAAATAGACATTATGAATAAACTACAAGTAAGAGAACAGAGAGAAAAAGAACCCAAAAACTCATCTACAGTGTATGTAGGTGCAGAATCTGAAGTGACTGCTGATGGAGCACTGAGAGTGAAATTGAACCCATACTGTTTCACTCCACCAAATAGCAAGTTATTAAAACTGCTAAGTAACTTTTGGTGGGATTTAGCAAGATTTTAAATATCACTGCATCTGCTAAACATAGGTGGTTTCTGTGTTGTCCAACACCTAATTCCTCACAAGAACTGTGAAAAGAAAACTAAGTACCTGAGAGGGGGATTACACAAATCCTTTTAAAAGACTATGGCTAAAGTAAAGGGAAAAAGAAATTGACAGCTAAAATGTTTTGTAAGTGGGAGAAAGAGCCTACCTTACACATGAGAGTTAAAAAGCAAATTTGCTTAAGTCAGAAGTAAATGCATTAAGTGCTCAAATGGCTTTATTAACGCAGATGATGTACTGAAAGTAATACATAGTATTGCAACTTCAAAAATGTGAGAATATTAGCTAAAGGGAGAAAAAGGTGTTAATACTGTGAGACTTATATCCAGCAGTAATACATTTACTTTGGTATTTGTAGCTTTACTAGTAAGTTAAGTTTTAGCATAATGCATTCTTTTCTATCTTATGTTAATAGCTTGATGCTCAGTATTTCATAAATTTTATATCCTGTGGGCAATGAAAAGGCTTCTCTATTCAATACAAACTGAGTCAAAAAGAAAGACGCAATTAGCATGGAAAAATTGATGGTGGACTTGACAGTTGTGTCCACCCGCGCAAGCTGTGGGCCATTAGCTAACTGCTATGCCATGATTCCTCCCTTGTCATTGCTTCAGACCTTCCTTCTGCATAAGCTGCAGAAAAAAATCTGGTGCACACTGTGGGCAGGGTTTTACAGTAGTTGCTTCCAAGAGTAATCTAGTTTATATGCACCAAAACCATTCTTCAAAACCAATGAACTTGCATTTAGCGCCCAGGGAATTCACCGATACAAAACATTAAAGCTAATGTAGTTATTCTAGAATATTTACATAGACAAGCCATTTGTGAGCATATTAGCTTTTTAAGCTGAAAACAAACATTGTGAATTTAGTTTAACAATACTTTGCCCGTGATATTACTGTTACAGATTTAATTCTGTTGCTCAATATTTGTTTTCCTTCAAAAACTTTGTGTATTTTATTAGATTAAGATGGGAATAATAATATATATTTTATTATGTAGAATTTTAATACATTTTGAAACAATTAAATGTAATATGCATATAGTATGTTAATAATATATTATTAGCATGTATTATGTTTCCAAATATATGCTGTAGAGAAGCCACAGTAGGAAACTAATGCTGGGATAAAGTGGGTAGAGAGAAGATGGAGCCAGTTTTCTGTTTTCTCAATGTCTTGTAATTATGGGAACGTTTCAAGGTGCTTCTCCAAATTTGCATAATATCTGATTTGTTAATCTGCAGGTTTATTTTTGTCACCTCAGAGGGCAGTTGTGGTGAGTTGACCTTGGCTGGTTGCCACAAACCCACCCAGACACTCTCTCAGTCCCCCTCCTTAACAGGACAGGAGACAAAGTTAAGGCAAAAAAACTTAAGGATCAACTCTTCCCCCCAGTTCTCACCAACCTTGGTGTTTATGGGATTATTTCTCACACTTTTTTTTCTCTCCATCATTCCTCTTTTCCACAGCTGCCGTGTAGGGTTTTTTACCTTTTCTGAAATGTTTTGTGAGAGGCACCACCATCTTGGCTGAGGTGCTCAGCCATTTAAAATGGCTTCAAATGGTTTTAAATGTGTAAAAATATGGGTGTTTATTTTTTGTTTTAACTTAGAGACCTAGCTGCAAGGAACTGCTTGGTAGGTGAAAGCAACATTTTGAAAATAAGTGATTTTGGAATGTCCCGGCAAGAGGATGATGGTGTGTACTCATCGTCAGGCTTAAAGCAGATTCCTATCAAGTGGACTGCTCCAGAAGCTCTCAACTATGGTAAGAACATATCTGTGTCTTCTTGCAAAAAATAAAATAAAAAAAAAAAATCAACAGTAGTAAAAGAAGCACCAGGACTACTCCATGGGCAATATTTGAGTGTGTATGCATATATAATCCTAGTGCCCAGTTCAAATCAATAATATTTAAAATTATTTTAATATTTCAATCTTATTCATGTATAAAATACTGGTTTACCTTCAAAAAGAATAAAGCAACAATATCAGAATTGCTATTATGCAGCAATAAAATAATGCTTTAGGTTATGTTACTGACTCATTCTAGTAGACTACCTAGTTAGTCATCTAAATCATGACTGTTAGCAAAATGAATGGCAAGTTCTGTTTATTAATGGCAGTGATTGTTCTAGCACCTCTTTGAAAATGGTAGGAAGTTTTAACATACTAGAACACTGTGTTAGATAAAACATTGCATTAGAGAAAAGTGCAGTCATCGACTTTTACTGGTTTTTTGTTAACTGCAACTTTTTTAACTGAAGCTGCTATATTTTGCTTTATAGCTTACATGAAACTAGAAAATAAAGTTCTAAATAAAGTGGGCTCTGAAGAAGCAGCGTATTAAATGAGCAATGCCATGTTTTCTATGTAGTTCTCTCAACCAGTTTTTCAGTTGAGTACTTAGAAAAAAAAGTGTTTCAAATTCTTCATTTGAAGTGTCTATAAATATTTCTGCCATCTCAAAGCTTTTTTTGCTAAAAAATTATGCATTGGAAGATGTAAGTTATGACTTAGGATTGAAAACAAAATGCTTCTTCTCAGTGCTTTTGCAGGAGTTAATGTAACACAGTAAAGCAGATCTTCCTTTTGGAAGGCTAATAATAAATTAGTAACAGTAATGACCATGTATTATCAATTATTCTAAGAAGTGTTAGTGTTGCTAGCATGGGGAACACACTTTTTCTATTTTGGGTATTTGTTCCAATGTAGAAAGTGTTTTGAATTTTACTTTTGTTATTTCAAAAATGCATACAGTTTATTTGATACATAATGGAAACCCATCTTTCATAGCCATATGCAGTCCAGTGTACTACATTAAACAGGAAACAGGCTCTTGTGACAATACCTTCACTTTGTACTTTAGAGTCTTTTATTTTCATACTACAGGAGAGGAGAGGATAATTGATTAACATCTACTTATTTTGTGTTTCCTAAAATGCAAAATTACTCAAGCAGCTTCAAGTGATTTTCCATGGCGTTTGAAAAGTAAGCTCTCGCAAACATTTGATAGTGTGTTCAGCAGTCTAATATTCAACTTTCAAATGTCATAGAAGGTTAATAGTAGTCACAGAAAGATTTTCAATGAAAAAAACCAAACCCACAATACAACCCCACAAGCTGTAACATCTAGAATTACCAAATTAGGGCAAATAGAGTAGTTAGGGAATTGTGTCTGAAGTCATAATCAAAATTCTGATGCTGCTAGAGCTTCTGTGAGATTGAACCTTTGGTTCAGTAGGTGCTGTTCCATACTGTTATTTTTGCTTGGAGCTATGTGATTTCTATCACTTCCAGCAAGTGGAAAAAATACTTGAAAGCTCCTAATAAAATTACGTATTTAGGCCATGTATTTTTGCTTCCTATTCTCTCAAAAATAATACACACATTTAATAATATATATGTTTTTCCAATACAACATTTTGAGTTGTTGGCCATGCTAATAAATTATTGTGTGGAAGAGTTTGGTTGGGTTTTTTTATTGTGAACGGACAGGCCTGTTTTTTCTCCCAGATAATGTCATAATGAAAGAGATAATTAACTCTGCAGAACTTGCACTCTCTTTAAAAAACCCTAATCGCCTATCTTGTATCTACTAAATTATTTCAATGAAAAGTGTTAAGTTACTGGATGCCAAACTCTGAAGAGAGTTGATACATAGACAAAAAACCTAATCTTACTACAAAAAGCATAGTGAATGTCTGTAATTACCATCTAGAAGGCACACAAGCTAATGTAGTGCAGCTGGAAGTGATACTTAGTTTGACAGTAAACTGAACTTTCTGACGTCAGAACAGTTGTTGTATCACCAACTGTCGCTATAATTTACATGTATTTTCCTTTCTTCCAGTTACGAGTAACTGGCTTAGTTTGGTTTATTTAATGGAAAGAGATGAAGAAACAATACATTCACATTCATAAGCATTTAAAGAATAAAGACACATATATACAATGTAATAGTGTGGAAAAAAGAAAAACAGTCATGAAAAATGTTGAAAATACTGTTGGATATGGATTTTTAAGGTAACAATTTCACACATCCTGCTGCAAAGGGCCAGAAGCCTTAGCTTTCTGATGTGAATCCATCCTTCTTAATGTGACTCCATCAGGGACAATAGAAGTATCTCCTCCAAAATCTCTTTTCCTCTGTGATATAAAGCTTTCATTCCACTAAGATGTTTGGAATTCAGTTATCTGTCAATTACCTAATTTGCTGTTTCTGAAGCATAGTTGAAGATAATGGAACCAGCAGGCCAGATTTTTTTTTTTTATTTTTTTTTTTTTTACTGCAACTGATTGGGTACAGCGGTTCTTCAGGGTAAAAATTAAACAAGTTGAGGCAAGTATAATTTTCAGAGAACAGTTTCTCAAAGTGTAAAAACTAGGCCCTCTTCGCAGTTACAAACTGGTGATTGTAGCTCCTCTCAGAATACTCATTGCAATACTTCGTTAGGGAACTGGGAAAAGTAATTTTTTTAAAAGTATCTTTTGATTTGACAGTGGGGGGAGGAGGAACTGACATTTTTCAAAAGGAAAATAATATTTTTGTGCATGAAGAAGGAAAGAAATTCTTAACTTGCTTGAAAAATAACTGACATGGTAAGGTCTGTCAAACAGTAAAACTTTAAATTAGTTTATATTATGCCTAGGTATTGACCTGAAGATAATCTGTTTCTAATTTGAAATACAGGCTACTGATATCTGCAGAATGTATTACTAGTAGCTTCAGCATTGTTCTGCTTAAAGCTTCTCAATGTAACCTGTAACTTCACCTTTACAGAAAATTTAGAGCCATAATTATCTGTAACATTTATTTCTCTGTACATTAAGCTGAGGGTTTTCTCTCCTTTTCTTAGGGAGATACACGTCTGAGAGTGATGTATGGAGTTTTGGAATCCTTTTGTGGGAGACCTTCAGTTTAGGAGTGTGTCCGTACCCTGGAATGACCAACCAGCAAGCACGAGAACAAGTCGAGAAAGGTAGTTATTTGTAGGGAGTGAAAGAATGCTCCATAGATCCATAAGGATATAGTACATACAGTATAAAAGAGCAAAGAAGTAACATACGAGTTATCTGGCAAATTTCGCAAAAATACTATATTTTTCATTGCTTTCTGGGAGGATTAGTGTGATATATAGGCTTCTTGAAAAAAGGAATATACTGACCAGTGACTTAAAGGACAGAAGACTTACAGCATATTGACTTTCATTGTGGCAGAACTAGAAAGTGTGACAGTGAGGAGGGATTTACTGCTGTGCAAAGGAGAGGCTTGACCAGAATGAATTATTTAAGATTATGCTAATGCAGGTATAAATATTCTAAACTGCCAGAAATAAAAGTCTGTATCATTCCATCTTCTTTATTAAAGCATTTCAGACAAAGATTTAGCAATTATGGTAGAAATTGGTAAGCTAGTTGAGCGTCGAAAGCCACATTTCTCTTTTACAAAATAAGCGAAAGGCTTTTATTTAAAGTAGCAAATAATTTTGAGCAGAATTTCCAGGCTTTGATTTGTTTTCATCATCTTTAGTGGCTTTTCACAACTTTTCCACCTTTACATAGTACTACTGTGTAGTTCATAAATAGGTTCTAAGCTAGGAAAAATGTTAAATGATTTTAAACCCCCCCCCCAGCATCTAGATTGCTGATTTATACAGATTAACCCTGATTGTTATAAACACTGTAGCTGACCATCAAGGTTCCTCCTTCAAAGGCCAAATCAGAAATCTGGTATTTGCCAAAGCAGAGTAGTGTTTGTAAAAATAAGACTTACTACCTAAGTACTGAGATTCTGTTTTAATCCACTGTGCATAAAAATCTCTTAAAATAGATAAATTTCATAGATTTAGAAGTATGTTTATGCTTTCTCAGCTATTTATACTGTGGGAAAAAGAGTTCTATTGGCTCATCAGCAATTTGTTTTACCTTTCCTTTTTTTTAATGGAATTTTCTTCTCTCCTATCATCCTGTTGTCTTGGTTTTCAGTATATAATAGCTCTTCTGTTAGGACTGTCAGCTAAGACACTCCAGATTCTCTTCCTGATCTTATCTATCTCAATTACTCAATCAGTAGGAGCCTTAAGTGAATCTAGTCGCTTGAATGCTCGCTTTAAACCAGGATAATTTCAGTTCTAAATAACTATATAGAATCACTTTAAGGACAAAAAGTGGTTGCTGCTGTCACTGTTTTGAAGAACTAGTTTGTAGGGGAAACTATGAGTGAAGGAAAAGATTTTTAGATAGGTCCGTAATATATTGCCTGTAAGTGTCAACAGTCCAGCCATTCTCCTTTGAACCAGATGCATTAATCCAGCACATAGAGCGTATGCATGCAATATAATAAAGGAAGAATGTTTTGATTTACCTGTTGCATGAGGCCAGTATCATTTACACTCTGCATTAGAAAGAGAGATGAAGAGAGTCATGGATCTGTGTTTAGCTGTAGAGTCCTATGTGCCAGCTTGCTTTCCTGTCTACATGTGGTAAACAGTTCATAGAATGGCAGAGTAACAGAATGGCTGAGGTCTGTGGAGACCTTTGGTTGTCATCTGGTCCAACTCTCTGCTCAAGCAGGGCCCCATAGAGCCAGTTGCCCAGGACTATTCCCAGATGGCTTTTGGATATCTCCATGGATGGAGATGCTATAACCTCTCTGGGCAACCTATGCCAGTGCTCAGTCACCATCACAGAGAAGTGTTTCCTGATGTTCAGGAGGAACTTCCTGTGTTTCAGTTTGTGCCTAATGCCTCTCTTCTGAGGCACTGAAAAGAGCCTGGCTCTGTCCTCTTTGCACCTTCCCTGCAGGTGTTTATATACATTGGTGAGTTCCTCTTGACCCTCTCTTCTCCAAGCTCGAACAATCCCAGCTCTCTTAGCCTTTAATCATGTGAGAGCTGCTCCAGTCCCTTCACCATCCTGATAGCATTTTGTGAGACTCTCTCTGGTATGTCCATATCTCTCTGGTACTCAGCACTGGACCCAACACTCCAGATGTGACTTCACCACTGCCAAGCAGGGAGGAAGGATCATCTCCCTCGATCTGCTGGCAAACTTCTCTTAATGCAGCTCGTAACACCTATACCATTCACCTTCTTTCCCACAAGGACACATTGCTTGTGCATGTTCAACCCTTGGTGTCCACCAGGACCCCAGCATGTCCTGGCGTCTGGGGCTGTTCCTCCCCGTGAGCTGCAGGACTTTACTCTTCCCCTTGTTGAAGTGCATGAGGTTCCTCTGGGCCACTTTCTTCTCCAGCCTTTCCAGGTCCCTCTGGATAGCAGCACAACCCTCTGGTTTATCAACACTTCCTCCCAGTTTGGTGTCCTCTCCAGTCTTGCTGAGGATGCACTCTGCCCATCATCCAGATCGTTAATCTTCATTAATGATCTGGATGTTAAAAAGGACTGGAAACAGTAATGAACCTTGGGATACACTGCTAGTTACTGACCTCCAACTAGACTGTGCCACTGGTCACCCCCCACTGGGACTAGCCATTGAATGAGTTATCTGCTTTCTCACTGGTCTCTGGAGCCTGAGATTCCTGAAGGACAGTCTTGCTAGTAAAGATTGAGGTAAAGGCAGCATTCAGTACCTCAGAAATTTACTCCCTTCTTAATGTTTATTATTGATTTCCTCAGTGAGGGGAAAATAGGGAACACAATGAAAACCTAGAGGGTAGCTACTCCCTAAGATACAGGAAACAAATCTATGCAGGTTGCTGCCTTTAGGGTCAAGAAGCAGACTGACAATTTGCCATGCCCAAATTAAATGTCATTGGTACCTGAGCTTTGATTAGTTTAATACTTACCTATTTCTAAGTCTTTCCTCATGTTACCCTAAAGATCTTTTCTAATGCAATGATCTTGAATTTTACTTGTTTCTTTTTATATTTGTCAATATGCATCAGATGTCAATGCTAAACATTTTACTCCCGTTTTTTGTGTACTAGGTTACCGAATGTCAGCACCACAAAAATGTCCAGAAGAAATACATAAAATAATGCAGAGGTGCTGGGACTACAAACCAGAAAACAGGCCAAAATTCAGTGAGATTCAGAAAGAGCTGTCTTCAATCAAAAAGAAAGTGACATAGTGATGAACAAGTGCCAAACTTAATGTGTGGGACTTTATTTTCCAGTAAAGTAATTTTTTCCCCTCAAACACTATGCATTTATACAACATTATTTGCAATATTCTTCTATGATTACTTTGAAATTAACTGGTTTTCTATATATATGTGTACCATCTTGAATGATGTCTACACCTGCGTTAAAGACATATACTGCAAAATGTTATATATCCAGTTACAGTAATCATGTCATTTAAGTTACACGTAAATAGAAAAGCACATACTATAGATTTAAGGGACTGTGGCTTCTATCTGTTTTACAGCAAGTAACTGTTAGTGACAGTTTTCAAAAGTTTTCTACTCTACGCTGTGTTCTCACTCTGCTGTCCCTGTCCTGTACATCAATACCAGCAGCACTCTAATGTGGTGACTGTCATACATGTTGGCCTTAAAACTGAAGGCAGTTTTGACAAGTATTTCAATTAGAAACTTTAATATTTTTTAATTTCCTTCTGTAACCGATATTTTAGTTATTCTTTGTTTTAAGGATGAAGGTCAGTTAGATTCTGGATGCAAATGTGCTTACTGAGTAGTGAAATCCAGAAATTTCTTTTGTAGAAAATTGAGTTACTTGTGCATTTCTTACCCTACTGTAGTAACTACTTCCGACTTTTGATGTGATTTACTTAAGCCACGCCTTTTGTTCGAACAAAGATATCAGAATTCAGTAATATATCTGCTTTACAATGACCTACATTTGTTTAAGACACAAAAAAGCCAGTATTAAATCTTGACTATACATGTTAAGAAATACTGCAAATTATCTGCTTTCCAAAGAATATGTAAAAGCAGTTGGCCAGCAGAAAGAGGATTACTAATGATAGCAGCAAATAACAAGTACTGATCTTAAAGTAGTTAAAGAATGTGAATTGCTTGATTTGTTTATCATATTGATTTTTTTTCCTAAATTGGTAATAATTCTCAGAATGCAGCTGGAGCCTACAAAAGTTCATGCTAAGCAAAAGTTCATTCCATGCATAGTGTCCAAAGGAAAATGCTACTTCTGTATGGCATAAGGAAATTGTTCAAGCAACGCAAATAAAGAAGTATGCCTCTGGCAGGCTTAGCAATGCAGAGTAGAAATGCTAACCTAATTGCTTTAAATCGTTGCAGTGGGATTTCAGAAGATTGGGGATAGGCAAGTGTTAAATGCCACCAGGAATAAAAACCTTGTGTGTGTATATATATATATAAAAAACAAAACAAAACAAAACAAAAAAAAAAAAAAAAAACACCCAACAAAAAAAAATACACACCTGCCAGAAGGAATAAAATCTTACTAGGTAGGAGAGAGAGGAAGGGCACAGCTTGTTGCTCTGTGTCCTCGTTGGGGCTGTAATTATTTTCTAGGGCCCTACATAGGAAGAAGAACAAATTGCAGTATCCTGGTCTAAGTTCCAGAGTTAAGGTGCTTAAAATTTTTGTAAGAATTAACTAAAAGTTTTTTGGATCAATGGATGCCAGTTGCTGCTAATACAAGTAAGAAACAGGGACTGTAAGTAACACAGCATCTGGAATGTTAATTAGCCGTATATTTTATTGTTACATGGGGATTGAGATGTAGTGAAGACAGTAGCTACATTACATTTTTATTTCTGTTGACTTTTCTATTGTTCACAATATTTTTCTCTCTAAAGCGTATTTATAGTAGTACTGAGTGGTAATGTTTAAGGGCTATGTGTGACCAAAATATGTGTAGTATAGAAGAGTTGGTTTGTTATATTGGCGTTAGTGTCCAAATAAAACAATGAATGATCATGCTGGAGCACATCACCTGCAGCTGGGTAGAAGTCTCAGCATCCAAGTATGAGGAATGGTGAGTGCTTCTCGCATATCCTAAGTGGATTTTTTTTTTTTTCTTGGAGCTAAGGAAGCATATACATACTTATGAAGATATAATGCTTGGAAAACTTGGTGGCATAAATTTAATCTTCCTTATAGGCATACTGGGTATATTTACTTAGTTCTGTACTTCCAAGTAGCCCAAAGATATTTTTCAAGAGCAATGGGAAACATTCTTCTTAGTTTGTATGCTTTTAAGTAGTACACAGTTTGTGCCTTAATTTGCTAGTATGCTAATGCAAATGCAAGTGTACTAAGATTTAAGGAATGTTCCACAATCATTTGGAAAAATCAAAGATTCACTCAACCACAGGTCCTTACGTATGCATCACTAATGGAAGAATTAGTGTCTCCCCTGTCAGCATTTACAGCTTCTCTAGAGAGTTAATATTCTTCTGTGAAAGAGATTAACTGATTTTTTGCTATATGCCTTCTTGACAGCAAAGAAACACTGTTTTATTTTTGTAAAATAAACCACCATTTTATTTGTCTTAAATTAACCAGTCACCATCCTAACTGTCACATAAAGATAAAAATTGTACTCATATTTTATTCAGAAATAGTTAACATTTATAATTCATATCACATTTCTGTTTAAATTTAAAGGCTTTTTAAAACATGGGATTTCTACAGCAGCAAGAAAATTTATTATTATTCCTGAAGGAGGCATCATCTCAGTTCAAAAATAGTAACTCTTTGGGAGAATACCAGAATGAGTTTATGGGTGTAGAATAAATCTAAACACAGGTACATGTCTCTTCAGTTATTCAGACTTTTTCTTACCATTAATTTGGCAGTTTGTGGCAGAACTTGTTCATCATGTCTCACTTGTAATTACTGCAATTATATAATTTAGGAGGTGGAATCCATACCTATAGATACTCGGTTTAAGCTTTTGTAAACTTCTCACAGAGGAGTTCATAAACAAACCTGTCATACAATGAAATTTAGAAGGACGACGTAGTAATCAATAACCAACACTGGCATATCTTTTTTCTGTAGACTTTTGATGACTTAGTCTTGCATTATTCAGAGGTTAACCAGATACTGGCCATTTGGCTCATGTACTGTGTTTTTCCTGGAGAACTTTTACAAAAAGGTTAAGACTATTGCAAGTGTAGTGTTTCAGGTAGGTTCTTACACTGACACTATTCCAACTAGGGAGACCCTAAGGGAATCCTGAATTTTTTACGCTGTTAAATGGGAGAAACTGAATACTGTTTAGAGTCAAGTAGAAATGCCTCAGCCTATTAAGTAACATGGAAGTCAACAGGTTATCTGTTATTTTCCTCTTTTTCCAAGGAATTGCATTTATTATTTTAAGAAAGATTGTTTTGAGGGAAAAAAAATGTATTCCTAGTTTGTTTTCAATAGAAATTAAGCACACATGTTAGCTTTAGAGGTCATTCATCAGTGAAATCATGAGGATTCCTAAGCATTTTAATTTTATGTAAAGTAAGATAGCTAAGAGTGTCTTGTCTGAAAACAAACCTTGCTTCAGCAAAGTGTGATCTTGTAGTCAGCATCCCATCAACACGTTCTCTTTGAGACGTACATTTTCATTAGTTTCTAAGGAAACCAATGAACTAGTTTTCATTTAGCAGCTACAGTCATATTTCATTTCTTCTTAACAAAAATCTACCTTTCTCAGAGTTTCCTAATGTTTTCGTTGGAAATTGTTATTGGAACAGGCATCACCTGAAGGCTATCAGTAAGAACTGAAGTTTGTAAAGTGAGCCTGATCTTACTGATGAGAAACAGAAGACTATTTAAGGAAATAGTCTTTACTATTAACTTAACTTCAGACTTAAGTACTTTTTCATCTATTTCTTTGACCGTCAGTTATTCTTACTCAGATCCTACAAGCACATCACTGAAATCTACTGCACATCACTAAAACTATGAAGTTATCTACTTGCTGTCGCTTATAACTATTTTGTTACCTTTTTTTGCATCCATTGCAAAGATATTAAAGGAAAAAAAACCACTCTCCTAGTGCACTTGGATTTGCAACAATTCTATGACTGAGCATGAGTTTGATATTAAAAGAAGAGTTCACTGATTAATTTTTTTTTCCTAAAGCACAAGAGGACTTGATTTTTTTGGAAGCATTCTTGCTAGGCAAGTCAGGATATGTGGAGGGACGAATAAGAGGGAAGAATACCCCTACTGCCAGGCAAGGTAAATTTTTTTCCTTCTTAGAATCATTCATTCAATTCTTCATTTTAAGGAATACAGGACTTTAATAACTAGTTAGAAAGTACAGGGCAGGTGCGGTATTTCTGAAGTTCCAAACAACCATGAGTTTTTAAGAGTAATCTGGTAAGTTTGGAACATCAGCTCTTAAAAATGCTTTCTTCTAGTTTCCTTCTGCAGATTTACTGTAAAAGAAGCAGTCCTTAAACAATCATCAGTAACAAGCTAGTTACAAGAAACTTGCATCAGCCTCAGAAACCTGTCAAGCTTCTGTAAGAGTAACTTAAGTAAAGAAATATTTTTTGTAATCTTGCACTAGAATCCCCCCAGAATAGCTTTCCTTAAATAATTAAATAAAAATAAATAAATAAGCTTAAAAAGCTGAAAGCTCCAAACGAAAACAGAAGAATACTTTCACTTGTCACATTCTAAACAGTCAAGTATTGCCACATCTTCTTTCCTGAAACTGATAATGCACCTGTGATTTTTGCTTTAACATAATTTTCAGCACTGCATATTAGTGTGTTACAAACACACAACTTTACTTTTAGACCACAGGAGGGAAGATTCTATCATTGAAAAATACAGCAAGATCTGCCTGGCAGCTCCTACATATTCCGTAACATCCACATTCAGCTATCAGGGTCATTGTGTTCATTATGGTAAGCAGCATACAGAACAGGAGCTGGAAGCCAGATACTGTCTTTAAATCAGCAGCTAATCCCCAAAATTACACAGATTTGACTCTAGAAGCCAACTTGGGCTTGGTTCTCTGTCAAATAAGGAAAAGAAATTTCTGTATTTCAGCCTTACTACTTACCAAGAAAACAGGAAGGTTCAAAGATATATTTACTTTTTGCTTCAAGGGAATGCTACCTCCACCAGTAACTGAAAGTCACCCTTATGTCCCTGTTGTGTCTCTCTGT